TGCTGTCAGGAGCCGCAGGCCTAGTGCACCTTTCGTGCTCAGGACGCAGTGGGAGCTCCACACCCGAGAGGCTCTGTGAGGGGCCCAGGAAAGTGGAGCCTGGACCCCTCTGTAAACTGTGGGAGCTGCAGCTGGCACGGCCCCATTGGCAGCAGGGCTGACTTTACGGATGCCATGCTGTGTTCAAGCAAAGAAGCAAGCTGTCGTCCATCCACCAGGAAGCCAGAGGATGGGAGCCTGGCGAGGGTCCCGAGTCCAGGCCAGGGCCAGGGACTTGTTCCCGTTATGTTCTTATTGGCCTTTGGGCAAGTTTTTATCCGTGCCTCAGTTTCCCAATTGTGAGACACACAGGAGGATGCAAATGTTGGACTTGGTAACTGCTTTGTTCAAAAACAAAAAATTTAAAGCCTGACTTGGTTCCAGTAACCTGGGTCAACCAAACAGCAGAGCAGGTGGAGAGGAGGGGCTGTGCTTGGCTGTGCTTGCTTGTCCCCTTCCCTCTGCTGCGTCCTACTGTGGGCTCCTCTCTCCCGGGCCTCCAGCACAGAGGAGCACAGTGAAATATCTCACCCAGAATCTCTCCGTGAGACTCCAGCCCCCAGGCTGTGGCCTGGCCATTGCTCACCCTCTCTGGGCCCACGTCCTCACCTGTGCAGCGAGGACCAAAGGACCTGGCCATTGGGCTATGCAGTGGCAGCTACTTAATTCACAGCACCCAGGGCTGGTTTGGAAGGCCCCCCTCACAAGGCATGGAGTGCCTTGGCTGTTATTACAGTATATCTGTGCTCAGCCAGGCTGTGTCCATGGAGGCCCAGGTGTCTCCCCCACTCCCTGGCTGCCTTCTGCCCAATGTCTTTGTCACTCTGGAGACCAAGGGCCCAGATCCTGACATGCTCTTCTTGTGACGCCTGAGATGCTGGGTGTCATCGGGAACACTTGGAGAGGGGTCTGAGCACACTCTGGCCAGGATGTACACACACTTGGGGACATCTGGGACTTTCTGACCAGCTTTCCTGGGCCAGCCCCACCCACAAAGCCCCAGATCCAGGGCCCAGGGTGGTCCTCCAGGGGTAGAGGGCCTGGAGGACCTGCCAGGAGCACACAGCAAACACTCAGAGCTCGCAACTCCAGGGCATCTCAAGGAGGGCTGAGTGCCTACTGTGGGGACCAAAGCCAAGACTTAAAACACCACCCACCTTGTACACTAGAATGGCACCTAGAAAACGCAGGCAGCTACAAGTGCTGGTGAGGAAGTGGGGACACTGTCACTGCTGGTGGGAGCATAAAACCATGGAGATGCAGTGGCAGCCGGAAGATGACCCCTCCAAAACTCAGCATAACTGCCTTTGGCCCAGCAGTGACTCATTGCTGGGCCAAAGGAGGTGTTTGTACATCTGTGTGTGTGCCAGCCTCACTCACAATGGCCAGCAGCTGGGGTCACACAGACGTCCGCTGACAAATAAGTGGGAAACCAAAATGTGGTTCATCACTGTTACAGTCGAATAAAATAGGTCTCCCCAACCTAGCCCTTAGAGTTGGGGCTTTGGTGAAGGTGGCGACCAACTGTGGGATTAACCCACTGGTGGTTCACAGCTGAAGGTGCTATTAGGAGGCCGGGCCCAGCTGGAGGAAGCGGCATGCCGGGGTGTGCCTGGAAGGGCACAGTTCTGACGCTGGGCCCCTCCTCTCTCTGGCTCCTGCTCTCTCTGCCTCCTGGCTCCATGATGCGGGCAGCTTTCCCTGGCCGCACCCTTCTTCGCTGATGCTTCTACCTCGGAGGGGGTGTATGCACTGGATCTTCTGAAACTGCGAGCCACAGAAACCACTCCTTTAAGTGGCGCGTGTCAGGAAAAGCTGACAGTAAGATCCAGGCAGTGGAATGTGATGGAGCCTCAAAAAGAGACAAGCGTGGAGACATTGGTACTTCAGAAGGCCACAGAAGTGAGGCATCTAGACACTGATCATAGGACACAAAGTGGAATGATGGTTGTCAGGGCTGGGGAGGAAGACAGGGAGGGAGGCCCCAGGCAGTGCCAGCCCTGCTTCGCCGTGATCTGGGACTTGCAGTCTCCAGGACTGTGAGGAAAAAAAGGTCAGCTGTGGCGGCTACAGGAGGCCTGGCAGGCTGACACAGCGCTCAGCTTCCTCAGTACTCTGCACCTGGGAGACGTTGTGCCCTGCGGCCTACAGACCAGGGACCCTCGCCTCGGGAACCACGCTACTGCAGTCATGGGCTGGATATGCCCACCCAGCCTGTGTGCTCCTGCAAGGGCCAGCCCGAGGGCGAGGACTGCAGGAAAGGGGACCGTGTCAGATGGAGGATGGCGCCTGAGTTGGAGGAGTGCAGAGGTCGCGGAGCCCAGCACAGGCCTCATTTGGGAGCTTACCATACTGCTAACAGGAGCCAATTTCTCCAGGTATCCTAGGCCCTAGGCAAACACCTCAGGTGTATTGTCACGAAGCCTAGCAGAGGGCTCTGGGGGTGTCATGGCTGTGCCTGCTCTACAGATAAAGAAATAGGCTCAGCAGTGCGATGCGGTGTTTGCCATCACATGCCCTGGGAGAGGAAGTGTTCGGGTTTGGGGTTGGGCCAGGACACCAGGACCAGTGCCCTTGCTGTTATTCATATTAGTGACCTGTCTTGGGTTCAGGAAGAGCAAGGCAGGCACAGCCCCCATCCTAAGAAGGAGGACTTGGTGTCCAGAGGCTCCGGCTGTCCTCACCAGAGTTTGGAACAGGGACAGCAGGCCTGTGACTCTGACTCAGGCACCAGCCCCTAAGGGATGCAGGTTCAGTGTTGGGGACATGTACAGGACAGCCACAGGGGTGATATTCCCTCCAGCTAGCAAGACACAGCCCAGCTGGAAGCACACACACACACACACACACACACACACACACACACCCTGCCACCTGCATGGGAATCAGAAGGCTCCTGGTCCTATATAAACGTACTGATGCAGGAACAGGGGCACACACCCAGTGGGCCAGGATTCAGTTCCGGGCCCACTAGGGCAAGCATGCACTCCTAGTGAGAAAACTCGCACTGTCCATTTCCACTGGGGGAGGAAAAGAAAGAACTGGGCTCCTTCACCAGGTTCTGCAGGTGTCACTTGCACATTAGAGCTGGGAAAGGCTCCTGGTGGGCCTGAGGGTCCAAGGCCTGGCACCAGAGGGCCCCCAGGTACCCATAGCTGGTGGTGCCGGAAGGGGCACCGGGGGGCTCCAGCCACCCTACACCCTCCATCCTGGGCAGGCATCAACTCAGGCAGGACTTCAAACATGGGGCACAGGGCCCACTGCTACATTTAATGTTCCTCCACTGGCCCCTGGCCCCCACTTCCACCTCAATGTGCTCTCCAGGCCGGGCAGGGCTGAGTGCTGGGGGCGGGGGCCACAGGGAGGTGACAGCTGCTCTGCCAGAGGCAGCACAGGAAGCCACTTTGTGGGTCCTCTCCAACCCAGAGGATCCCTGGGTGCTCCCAGGCCCCCTGGGGCAGCACTTTTCCCACCCCAAGCCTAGGGTTGGCGCTGCCTCACTCCTGTGCCATCCACAAGCAGGAGGCAGGCCTCTCCCGCCTGTTCGGTTTCCACGGGCCAGGTATCCTGCACCCAGGGCCCCACCCAGGCAGCCCACTCTGGGAACCCCTTTTCTGGGGCCACTGGTAGGGGAGGTTTAAACCCCGGGTTTTCTGGTCAGGCTCAGCAACCACTGACCAGAACAGCCCTTGGGGGCAGGCAGAGGCTCTCTCAGGGATCCTACTGTTGGAGGCAACAGGGTTCCACCCCCCTCACCCCAGGGCTTACACTCCAGCCTCCTGGGTTGGCTGGACCCTCTCTCCCAGCCCCCTGTGACCACAGCGCTCTCTGCCGGGGCTCCCCAGACGTGCACCTACTAGGTTCAGGGTTCAAACCCCAGGTCCGGCTCAGCAGCCAAGACAGGCAGGAGGATGCAGAACTCAAGTCACTTTCATCCGGATTGTCCCCACCCACATAGTGTAACCAAATAGTAAGCACTTCTAGGCCTTAGGGCCCTGCAGGTGGGCTCGGGACCCACCCCACAGCCCTGCAGCGATGACTCACAACCCCACCCTACTACTCATGAGTAGTATGCGACAACCCGTGCCTCAGTTTCCCCCTCTGTAATAGGGTGCCACTACTCGTACTACCTTGTGGGTCATCAGTCAGGGCAGAGTGAGCAAATTATGATAAGAGGGTGCCCAGAGGTCAAGGGGGAAGGGACAAGCAGGCGGAGCCCGGAAGTGGGGTGTATGACACAGGTGTGGTGTACGCACTTGGCTAAAATCCACAGAACGTTCCCCATACAAGGAGCTCTGGTAACTGCAGACCAGTGCAGGAAGCACGGGTCGAAAGATGGTTAGAACAGGGGAAACTGGGGAGCCGGGCATATGACGCCCCCTTCCCGGCATCTTGTGTTTATTTCACTGAAAATCTAAACCACTCAAAAAGAAGAGGGAAAAAAACAGGGAAGGAGAGGAAGAGGAAGGGAGGTGGAGAGGATAGGCACCGGCCTTCCCGCGCCCCTCCAGTGTCCCTTTCGGGTCCCGCGGGCCTGGAGTTTCGGCGCCTGGGGTGGGGCTCCTCCCAGCGGCCAATGCCCCCAGGCGCCCGCTCCTGCCGGCTCCGGCCTTCCTCGCTCTGGGGCCCGGCATCGGTGGGGCGAGGGCGCCACCTGCGGGCTGAGGGGGGCAGTGGGCCGCTGGGCCGTCTCGGGGCGGGGTCCGCTCGCTCCAGGTCTCCCGCCCGCCCCTCCCGCGGGTCCTGCGCGACACGACAGCCGGCTATGGCCCCGCAGGGACACAGAGGGCGCGCTGGCTGGACTGGATCGGGGAGGAGGCTAGGGCGCGGCAGCGCAGCCGGGTTGGGGACCCCGCGCCGGGCCGGGCCTGGCCGGGCATTGCACGTCGAAGGTGAGTGCTGGGCTAAGTCCTCACTCGGTGGCCCCCACGTGACAGAGAAGCCGAGCGCGGGAAGCGGACCGGGATCCGCCAGCCGGATGCACAGGCGCCTGTCTGGACACAGCGGCGCCCTGCAGCTGCCTCTGCCCCACGGTCCTCACCGTGTCCCACTGAGGCGCTGGCCTCACTAGGGCTGCAACTCATACTGGGCCTCCGTGGCCGTGTAGAAGTCTTCCAGCACCGACTGCAGGAACTCGAAGGTGGGCCGCTCCTCGGGGCGCCCACGCCAGCACTCGGAGATCACCTCGCGGTACAGGGCCGGCGGGCACGTGTCGGGGCGTGGCATTCGGTAGCCGCGCTCCAGGTTGCGGATGACTTCAGGGTTGCTCATGCCTG